CGTGCAGGTCATTTTTCTCCTACAGGAGACGACTGGCTTGAAAGTCCACGCAAACGGACCCAGACCCTCCCCACCTTCACCTGCCCTCTTGTCGGGATGCCGGCAAAAGCTGACGCCATCAATCGGTGGAGTCGCATCCAGGAATGCTCAGAAGAGAAAAGTGGAGGGACACTGTCGGAGGACATTTTTAAGATCCTAGACCTCAAGGGCTCAGGAGAGCTGTTGTTTGGTGGGTCACATGTCAGTAACAAAAAGGAGGAGGAGGTGTCTACATCCCACAGAGGAAGTGAGGATACAGGTTCTTCAATAACAAGCCGTCAAAAGACCGTGGATCAATCTCAGCACTGTCCGCTGACGTCCAGTCAGAAGAGTGTAGAGACAGTGAAGAGTCCCGCTCAGCAGGTCAACAGTCAGCCCGAGCTGAAAAAAGACAACCAGCCCAGTGTAAACAGGTGAGTGCAGGACCATGGAGATACTTTAAGGCTTCGACCCACTTGGCTGCCATAGTGCCATTGGCCAATATCTGGTATCATACTATCCACAAGAGATATTCACCAGACGAGCTTTGCTAGTCTGACCTGGTGTAAGGCTAGACGTGTGTCAGCTTTAGTCGATGTTTGTGGATTAGATACTGGACACCATATCAGAAACCGCAAGTCTCCTGAAAGATTAGGGGTCCCCTGATACCCACAAGTCTAAGAAACTAGTTAGTAATATATTAAACACATTCACAAAAGAACACAAACATGACACGGAGCGAGTGTGCGTCCAGTGATAGCATGCACGTCACTTTCTTTATATTATAGTTTATATTAACAATACATGCATTTTCACAAATCTTCTTTCCCTCATTTGGGAGGGGCGTGGATTACTGTACCTCCCAAAATTTTGCAGGTTGGGATGTCTGACATATATGGGCTCAGACTATATTCTTTACGTAAAGGCAGTGATTCTTTCTATGAGCTATTTTTCATTGAGTATTTTAACTCTGTAATATCAGCATCCGTATAAATATATGCAGGACTTTCTCTTCTCTTTTTTCCCACACAGACAAACTCCTGACCCTCCTTATCAAACTCACTTTCCATCCTTCAAAATGTATTACTCATATTAGTCGTTACCTGTAGTAAAAGTTATATTGCCACACAGTGGCAGTTATTTATCATGTACACATGTACGTATGTTGAGGGTGAATGACTCCAATGATCAATCTGCGAGCCTCAGTGAGACAAGTTTCTAGGCCTTTCTTGACGAAAGATTAATAACCTTATGCGTTGTATATTCTCTTGGGCCTATCAGCACCTAACACAAGGCTTCTCTCTCATTTTTTTTTAAAATGCTTTCATCAATCTACAATTTTCAACAACTGTTGATTGAAGCAGTTAGACTTTCTTAACAAAAGATTGTTTTAAATATTGTTTTGCAAATGCTAGATATGTTTGCCTTATTTCATGAAGATAACCTTTTTAAAAACAAGTCCAACCTGTAAGACTGGTAAGATCAGGTTTTTAGGGCAAATTCAATTATTTTAGCAGTTTACCCCCAAGCACTGACTAATAATTTGACCCTGGGTTGAACTTAGTCATTTGTGTGGATTACAAGTGACTGTAGAATGCACACGTGTTAGCCTGCTTTAAATCTACATGGAAGCCATCAACATGTACTGTATTACCTGAATTTCTGATTAGAGTTTTAAAGCATGCAGGACCAAATGTATACAAAACATAGATTATTATTAGACTTTGTTGACTGTATATATTTCACACCCTTCGTGTCTTCGACTGTCTCCCCTCAGTTTGCAGCAAGAGAATAAGGAGCTGAAGGCCACAGTGGCAGAGCTCCAGTCAGCTCTGGAGGCAGAGCGACGACGTGCATCAGCTCTGGAGATCTGCCTGAAGAACGCCGAGTGCAGTCGGGATCAGGCCCAAAGACGAAACGAGGAACTGCAGAGAGATGTTCAGCAGTTTCTCAACACAAAACCTCAGGCCCCCACTTAAAAGGTACTCAACAGTTTATGGATTAATGACATTACACATTTCATCTGAACCAACTCTATGATGGAAATCATCCTTCCAGTGAAATGTGGCCACCAAACAAAACCCGTTTGGTCCAGGATATTAGTTATAAGTTATTGTCTGACTTGTTGTTTAGACCACAGGTAAAGCTCCGTGACCAGAGGACAAATCTGCTTTTATTAATAGTGTCAATGTCATGTTTAATATGAAGTAACTGTTAATTAGCATCCTTGTGTGATTTATATCATAAATTAATAAAATAAGATTTAAAAAAAAAGGTTCTGATTCTGGTTTTGTTAACAAAAAAAGGCCAACAGTAAGTCTGTTATTATACATGTAGTTTGACAGAACCTAAGGTTTTGTGCAGAGCCACAATTAAATTTAATGTCATCTTAAGAAAAAGATTTGTAACTGCTCGCCGCTACATCAATCACTTCAACTCTTTTCCTCTCGAGGTCACATGTTGTAGGTTTACATATGGTTAGCTTTAGACGCATGTTTGCAAAAGTCACAGTGATGGATAAGACAATAGATGAGCCTGTCATCACCCAAAGGTTTATAAGTCACAGTTATTGGACGATATGAAGTCGACACTGTAACTGATTAGCAAAAATTGCTGATTTGCATGTCTGCCAATAAATCAGGTCTTAATTAAAACTAATGGAAAACAACTGTTGAGCAGCTGTTTGACAAAGATGTGCACATAAAAACAAAGAATCAATTTCTATTTGCCTGATAAAATGCAAAGCTAATAGCTATCCAACTGAAGAATCATATGCGTTGGATACTGGTCTTATGTTGCCACAAATACAAACAATTGTTCTCTGGGTACTTGAGAGGATATCAATTCCACAGTATCTGTCCAAGCTCTTTTGGATTTTCTTCTAAAGAGAATGATTACAAAATATAGAAATTGTGTATGTATTTAAACTGACATCATAAAACAGATGGAGCTAGTAGTAAAGTTTAGATTAACCTTGTCTTACAACTACTATATTTTTTTTCTTCCAAACCTTCACCATTCGAACTGAAGCTTATTTCTTTTCCCTGATTCTATTTTTCCATTTGCAGATGACTTACCTTTCAGCTTCAAAACCAAAACCATACTCTGGCTGCCCGACATGGCAAAAATTTAATTCTGTGGCTCAGAGATACAATTAGAACATCTGGGTATTTGTTATGAGGACAAAATATTGTACCATGAAGGCCTCTGTGGCCTTGTGTGGAAACAGCAAAGTAAATTTCTGCTTTAGTACCTTCACGCAAGCAAACAGAAATACAGATAACAACAGAAAGTCTGTCAAATGTCAGCAGGCAGATGAGTGGCAAAGGCAGGAAAAAAGTTCATTCCTTCCCCTCACTGTGGAGCAGCACAATCAGGAGTGTATCTGCAGGTCATACCAAGAAGCTCAGGAATGACCGAGTCCTACAATAGTGGAGTGGATGTTTGACAGATGAACACTGACGTGTCATGTCCGACAAAAACATCAGTGATTTACCGGCAGGTTGGTAATATACTGTAACCATACATACAGCCACTGATGTCACCATGAGTCATGACATCACCTCTGACTATAGCATCACACTGACTCACTGCTGCTGTTACTGTTCTTGCCACAAATAAACTTTATCTGGGCCACATCGTTTATCTTCATTCAATACTGCTGTAGTTTTAAGCACCTTCATGTGCAGAAACAACTCATATGTCAGACAGCGTATCCACTGACCAGAACAGGAAGGACACGCTGAACTTTGTCAGCCTGCAAAAGAGTGTCATTTTGGCTATGTTTATTACTTCACTAATGTAATGACCTATGTAGTATATATACACACACACATGTATTATTAGTAATTAGTCCTTTTAACTAATCAGTTTGCATTACATATGACGAATGTGTCTGTCAGCTGTAAACTCACTTACTGCCAGAAAAAGCCCACTGAAGACTTGGAAAAAGTTATGTCATTGGGGTATTGAAATTCATATTTATTTTATGTTTTTATTATTATCTGTAGACGCTGAAAATCAATCTAGAAAGGGTTTGTTTAGCAGACCAAAGAAGATGTTTGTTAAATGAACAAAAGTGATAACTGCTTCTCTCTGCTCTTTATGAGCTACTTCAAATGTTTCCAAACTCACTGTGAAGCTCAGTGTCTCAACACCATTAAGGCCTCACACCTCATTGCATTCCAATTCCATTCGGACATTTGATGTCTAATAGATATATCCTGTTACTGTCAACACTATCAACAGACCCTTTGGTGGTATTTTGTCAGAAAGAAATGGTGAATTGAGCCCAGACAGTGGCTCACAAACTCCACCATTTACAAAGATAATAAACAAATGAAGTATATCAGCTCCGAGCACCCACCCAAACAAAAAACGCTTCCACAAGGAAGAGGCTACAGGACATGTTTACCAAGTCCTCATTAAGGAAGTTGTGAGATAACACGCGCTTGTGTATCACACGAAAAATGAAGACGTGCACGCCCTCACACACACACACCAGCAAAGAGGCCATACACAGTAATGCAGAGCCCACCATTTCACAGATAAGGGACAGAGAAAAAGCTGGGAAGACCAGAGCAGAGCAGTACAGCCAGAAGACAGAGACTGACTGAGGACTGGGCGCAACAGAGATGACTCGAACAGACAAAGTCGAGTTTCAGACACTTAGTCACTGGAGCTGCAGAGGTGTTGTCCAGGACATCAGAAGTTGTACATGTGAATGAATGCTGTGAAATCTGAGAGCATCAGGAATACATACCCTCCTGCAGAGAGACTCCCTCTGGTCAGTGCAAGGGTCAAGAGAACCACCAACTGTTTCAAGAACCGACCAGAACTTTCTTTGGCTGCAGATGAAGTGAACACCTCATACATAAGTTTCTGGGATCTAATCTTTTTTTGTTGTTGTTGTTTTTCAATCTTGTTCTTGCACGAACACTAATAAACGGGCAGTAACTAGAACACTGCAGATTGTTTTTCTCATGGCGAGCATTTGGGTTTCTGAACCCAGAACCACCTGCAGCTCCAAGACACAGCTCCTGCTGTTATCCATCCTGCTACTTCAGGAACTCTTCTGTGGCAGGAGCAGTCCCATCTCCAGCCCCCATCAGAGGCAACGTCCAGCTCCAGGGCTTGACGATGGGCACGGAGGGGTGGTGGATCCATCGTTGCTGGAGCAGGATAACAACGTAGACATGCAGAGTCTGCTGGAGAACTTGAAGGGACAGTTTCTGCAGACTTTCAACCTCTCAGGTTCAGGTCCTTCACTGTCTACTAGAAACTTGAGAGAGGAGCCTCCTGAGTACATGATGGAGCTCTACAACCGCTTTGCTAATGACCACAATACAATGCCTTCTGCCAGCATCATCCGCAGCTTTAAAAATGAAGGTAAGGCTCATTTGTATTTATTGAGGGGCAAATGGGTCAAAGGTTAAAAACAAAATCTTTACATCACTTAAGTTAAGAAAAAACTATGTTTTGGATTGATGAAAATGAGAGTAACAGTTTTGGAGTCAATTTTTCCATTCATCATTTCTGTTCGTATCAGCAATGACACTGATTTCATATTCAAATCTCAGATTTTTTTTCCTCAGTACATTATTTTTAAGATGGTTGCTGGTGTTGTTACCTAAGTTGAAATCTGTATTTAAATACGTTTGGTATACCATGATACCATACAAAAATGTACTTTGACCATTTTTTGTTTTTCACTACCCAGATTCATCTCCTGGTGTTGTAGGTGTTGGTGGAGTGAGGCGTCACTCCCTCCTCTTCAATGTCTCAGTCCCTCACCATGAACGCATCACCGCAGCAGAACTCCGCATCTACACCCTGGTCCAGACTGACCGCCACCTCTACGCAGGGGTTGACCGCAAGGTCACAATTTATGAAATTGAATCATATGGGCAGGCGGACAATGTGACAAATAATAACATAACTGGAGTAAGTGCGTTCAAAGGAGAAGGAGAGCAGATGGAGTGGGTGGAGTTGGCATCGCGACAGGTTTATAATACTGATAACGGCTGGCAGGCCTTCGATCTCACTGCTGCTGTGCAACACTGGCACATTTCTGCCGAGGGCACCACGCACCGGTTAGAAGTGCACATCGCCAGCATGTCTGATGATGGTGTTCAAAATACATTAGAGGACAACAAAAGCAGGCATTCACCTAAAGGGGACATGAAGGTCGATACTAGTCCTGAGGAGAAACACAAACCCCTGCTGATTGTTTTCTCTGACGATCAGAGCAGTGACCACCAGAGTGACAAGCGTGAGCTGAACGAGATGATCGACCATGAAACCTCAAACATGGTTCTGCAGAATGACATAGAGATGGGTGACTGGAGTGATGAGGTAAGAGAACAATCTGAGCCAGATGAAGAGGATCTAATTCAGATGCGGTCAAATCTCATCTATGAATCAACATCACGAATCCGTCGCAACGCCAAAGTCAACCACTGCAAAAAAAAGTCTCTGTATGTAGAGTTCAAAGATATAGGCTGGGACAGTTGGATCGTAGCCCCTATTGGCTACGACGCCTATGAGTGCACTGGCGTTTGCTCTTTTCCACTCACAAAGCATGTCACACCAACCAAACATGCCATTGTTCAGACGTTGGTCAACATAAACAGCCCTCAAAAGGCAGCGGGAGCTTGTTGTGTGCCCACAAAGCTCGACCCCATCTCCCTGCTCTACCTGGATGAGACAGGTGTGGTCACCTATAAGTACAAGTTTGAAGGCATGGTGGTTGCTGAGTGTGGTTGCAGATAGTCCCTGCTCTGACAGAGGCAGAGCTAAACTTATCATAAAGTCTTATGGACGCAGAGGAAAGGCACTGAACAAACAATAAGCTGGAGGAGGAGATAAGCGCAGAATGTCTTTGACAAAAAAGGGACGACTATTGGAATCTCTGTGAGACTGGAACCACACATTCCCTGTTCGTGCAAGCATGTGTGGACAAACAAGACTCTTACTAAAGACACTGCTCACCCTTATGCCAATATAGATAGTGGAGAGACAACATGTCACTGACCTACAGTCTGCATGTTGCCAAAAGTGACACCAACAAGAGCAAAAAGGAACAAGATTTTCCAAGGACTCAACCAAGTGCATGATCTGTCTGGGAAGCCTTGTGGGAACTTACGGGCCAACAGTTTCCCCTCCCTCCACTTCCCCCCTGACATCTGTCTTCCTTTCCACTTATCTCTCGACTCCCCACTCGATGCAAACACTAATCAGCACTTCATGTGTCCTGGTGCAGCAAAATGACCTCCCAGAAGCAACCTGACAAGACATGAACTTTACAGGCCCCGCTCCTGCCTCCTGCAGACCCCTGATACGTAGGTGCTGTGTGGGGGTTGTGGTGGTGGCATGGTTATCTCTCCCATATTCTGTTTCCAACGTCACATGCCTTTCTTCAACTCCCTGGAGCTGGAGTGATAGGAAGGTGTTGGAGAGTAAGACACATGAGAAACATGTGAGACAACAATTAGTTGGAGAACTGGATGCCATTCTGGACATCTTTTGACTGCTTGTACGGGTGGGGGGTGTGGGGGGAGTCTACATTCCTAGGTAAAACATTTTACTGACCCTTTTTCATGCACACCATCTAAGCTAGGTCATACATCACTTTTATGTAGAACTGTCCTTTATGGAACATGTGCTTCTGTAAGCTAATACCAAGTGTAAAAACAGGGGCCCAGTCTCAAATTTCTGTGACTGACGTCTCCCCAAGAAAATGCCAATATTTTCTTATGTTGTTAGCCTTTTGATACCTCTGCTGTTTGTGTCAAATGTAACATTATTTATTGTTCTAACTTATTGATTTTTACAACAGAGTAGATATATAAGAATATGTAAATTTGATATAAATGTAACTTGTTTTCTTGTGTAATCATGACAATGCATTTGCAGCACAATGTGATTTGTTGTTGGGAAGAGAAATGGTAACTGTTTTTAAAAGCATAAAGAATAAGTACCTGGTTAAAAAAATAAAACTTGCCTTTTGACTAAACAGTGAGTAATTTACTCCTGTTTTTAGGATAGTTTCATACAAGGACATACCTCAAATCATACTGAAGCATCAAGCTGATTTTTGTTAATTTAACTCTCTGCCATTTCTAAATTTCATTACTAGATGCAGCTATTAAAAAATAAAAACGTAGGTGTATCGCATCAGTGCTGAAAAAACTGATCGTTTTTTTTATTTGAAACTTTATGTCCCAATACTTTTGATAGTCTAACCAAAGCATAATCCATTTGTAAAAAGTTTTAACCTGCTTTTCAAAAGCCAAATAATAAATAAAATAACACCAACACATAATCTTAAAAAAAGTAGTTCATTACTATAAAAAATACAGTAACACACTTTAAAAATGTCAGAACAGATTTAAAAGGCCATACAAGCAACTGGACTGAAGTTCTATTTTTCTTATTAATATATATCTAATTATTTGGATCAGTGGACGTTTTACAGCCTTTTTTTAAAATCAAGATTCGAAAAATTCCATGCAAACATGTCCCTAAATGTATAAGTAAATAAATTTAACAATCTTCTAATTTTAATTTACTCACAGTTTACTCACTCAGTGTGAAACCTGGCAGTGTTTTCTTGAACACAATCCTTAAATACTCGCAGGCAGAGTTGGGCACGTTACTTTTAAAAGTAGTTAGTTTACGTTACTAGTAACCTTTTACACTAAATAATTGAGTTGGTAAATGACTCACTACATGACAGACCTAGTCACTGACAAGTGACGTGCGATCAGTTGACAAGAAGCGTCTGCCGTCGAGATGTGCTTCATTAAATTGGAGTTGCTTACACCAGACGTGAACTTATTGCTCTGAGACATAATGTTCACTGAACATTTTTACCTCGACAAGGTTAAAGTAGTGCCTGTATTTCTAACTCGAAAACGCTGTCGTTCCCTTTGACTCCGGACTCGCCATCTTTGAAAGTTTGTGTGTGTGCAGCTCGACCTGTGTGCTGGGTTTGTGTGTAAACACCCGCCATAGGGGAAAAACACACACACATTTGCAGCTCCTGTGTCTGTGCGAGCCGAGTCGGATGATATCTTCAATGAGTAGCTTCAGTAAGGCGCAGTACTGGCTTGTTGGTAACAGTAACGGCGTTATAACGACAGATAAAGTAAGTAGTTATATATATATATATATATACATATGAAATATACTTTTTTCAACAACTTTGGATCACAGTAAAATACTTTACAATGAGTTCCTGAGAAAGTCTTCAAAAATAAAAAATTCTCAAAAAAGAAATAGAAATGCACTAATTTGACTTAAAATACATAGCTATGCTCTTTTGTGTCCAAAGTTCTGCAGCTTCAGTCTTTTCGAGGGTTTTTAACCATAGAAAAGTAATATATTTATACACATTATGTATGCTTTTAAAATCTGTATTTATTTAATAAAAAAGCACTAATTTCCAGAAAAACAGGGCACATTGCACTGTACAACTAACCAGTCATTTTTAACAACAGCTATAAATACAAATCTTTTGGAATATAGATTCCATATAAATGCATTTTGTGAGATTGAAGCCTTTTGTGGTTTACTTGTGATGGTTTTCCTCATCTGGTACTCAAAATTTGTAAAAGGTAAGAATATTAAACAGATGTAAGAAAATCCCATATAGCCACAAATTTATTGTACTGCAACTCCTACACTAGAACACTAATATCAATCCTAAGATTCTGTTAAAATAAGTGTGTGTGAGTGCTGAGTACTTTTAGCTGCAAATCTCATCAGCTTAATGTATTCCAGCCACCTGTAAGAGGCAAACCCATTAAAAATCAATGTCAGTTTAAGGCAATAAAAGAACAAAATTCACTTTATTATTTTGAGGTTATCCTGGATGTACCCCAAAGTATCAAACTCTTATAATAGGTGCAGAGGATCCCCAGCCAATCACTCCCATATGTTCTGGTCCTGCCCCAGGCTTGCCATATTTCTATCCAAAATCTTTCCCACTCTTTATACTGCATATAATATCAGTATCTCTCCTGATCATCTTCTGGCCTTGTTTAGAGGCCCGTTACAGCCTGCTACCTCTAAAACCATGCAGACTGTTCTCGCCTATGCCACTCTATTGGCCAGACGAAACACATTTGAAAATACATGGACATCCCTCTTAATTTATATTGAAGTTTTGTTATCTTTCCTTGGTTGTGATGGTTGAACTGGTTGGTTGATGTATTTTGGAGGAAGAAAACTGTACTTTTATTTGACTAACATCATTTTTAGTTTATATTTAGCATGTATTTATTTGTTTTTGTCTGGTTTAGTCATTTTATTTATTTATAAATGTATTTTCTGTTTATTCCTATATACTGTGTATTGGGTTGAAAAAAAGGGGGCTGGGGGTGGAATGGAGATATGGAAGACTTATGCTGTATCATTGTCTTGATTAATGTGAAATTTCTTCCCAAATTTCTTTTCAATTTCTTAATGCATTTCATGTTGGTCGCATGATGAAACTTTTTGATGACATTTTTAAAAAAAAGAAATTTCCAAATTTGAACTTTTCTGCACATTTCTCATCAAATTAAATAATTTTGAGAATTAAAAAAAATGCTTTTTTTTGGAAAAATCCTTATTTCATGTCATGTTGTTTAGAAGGTAACACATTTGATAACAAATTATGGAAATTTTCTTTTTCAACATTTTAACTTTTTTCCTCATCAAATTAGAGCATTTTGCGAATTTTTTAAATTTTAGTTTTTTAGCTTTTTTAAATTCTACTTTTGCATGTCATGTTGGTCGCATAGTGAAAAAGTTTGATGGAAATGTTTGGAAAACATTTTTCAATTATAATAATAATTAAACTTTCGTCATGTTTCTCATCAAATTAGACCATTTCGAGAATTTACAAAAAAATGAAGAAGACTTTCTGAAAAAACAAATTCTAACTTTTCTGCGTGTTTCTCATCAAATAATACAAAACAATAATTTTGATAATTTAAATAAAAGCTTTTTTTAAAAAAAAAATCCTTATTTTGCATCATGTTGGTCAGAAGATGAAAGCTTTTGATGGAAATTTTTGATAAAAAAACATTTTAAAATTAAATATGTGTTCCTTATCAAATTAAAGACTGTAGTTTCCTAATCGTTGAAGCCATGAGCCTGACGCTCTCCTCCCTGGTTGAACAACTCGTTGAACAACAAAAAACAAACTCCACATGTGGCTTTTATTTATTTACTCCAAAAAATAAGGTAAAATACAACAGTCCAGTATTAAGAAAATAAAAAAGGCAAGAGCCAAAGAAGGCAAAAAGCGGAGTCTAAAGGTAAAGAAAAGATTCATAACAGTCCATCAGTTATCCTCGGATTCTTGAAGAAGATATAGCTTTGTCATGGGCGACAAAGCTCGTTGGTCTTGGTCTTCACTTTAACCTGACGAATGAAACCATTTCTATCAGGAAAGGTCTCCACTATTCTTTCACGTGGCCAGGAGATTCTGGGTGATGCATCGTCCACGATCAGTGCCACGTCACCGACAAAGAAGTTTCTTCCAGGGGAACACCATCGCTCCTGGACGTTCCTGGAGCTGTGTCAGATACTCTGAAGTAATCTATACCGACTCTTGTAAAAGGAGGGCAGTGTGGTGGAGAAATACGGTAAGATAATATATAAGGCCAACTCAGAATAACAGGCAAAAACAGGCCAAGCTGACGTGGGAAACAGGAAGACGCCAGGAATAACAGGAAGACTGGAAACAGGCACAGGCAAGAACAGGTCAAGATCACCTGGGTAAATGAACATGTTTATCCGGTTACTAGCCAAATGAGAGCCAAATGTTATTTAACACCATGCCTATAAGAAGGATCAGCATGTATCAGAAGATGGGATTTGTTGATGAATGTTCAGATGAGATTCGTTGTTGGACCTGCCATGGTCAGAAACCTCTAATACAATAAATCCCCGTGTCCTGATCTGCCTCATTTGTAGACGTCTCTTTCTACAATAGCAGGACCCTGCATGTTGATAGATCTGCCGTGAGCTGCTTGCCAGCTGCTCCGTGTAGTCTTTTACAGATGACACACTTGGACAGGAACCTTCTGATAGCTCCACTGGCTGCAGGGATTCAGAATTGAGCCAACATGTGATTCCTTCTGGTGTAAGCTGTAATGTCATGAATGTGTCTCAATACAAGCCTTGATGGTGACTTGCTGTTCAGAGTCATCAGGCATAGCCGTGTGACTCAACCTTCCGCCAACTCTCATAACTCTGTCTTGGTGCACTGGATTTAACTTAAAGAGAGAGCTATGTTTCTTCACTCTTTGATGCTCCTTTAGCATAGCCAAGTCTTCACTGAAACATTGTTTCTGACAGCATTTCACAGTTTCTGTTTTGCTTTCCTTTAATGTCTTTCTTGAACTCTGTCATCTGACTTCCTCCACCTACTGTTTGTAGCTTCTTTCTCTTTTCCTTTAGCTCTTTTAGCAAATCTTTAAGTTTCAGAACCCAGCCTACAGCGCGCTTCAACGCCGTCCAGGAAGAGTAGTGGTTCATCCACTGATCCATGAAATATTAAAGCTCTTGTGCCTGAATGACTTGAGGATTTTTAGGCCACTGGTCTGGTGAGCTGAGTAAGAAACTTGAAAGAAGTACACAAAATGCAGAAGAAAAAAAAAGAAGAAGAACCTGAAAGCCAGCTCTCATTTTTCAAAAATGCTTCCACAGTCTGTCCTCTTGTCAGAGGACAATGTCAGCGGGATTCAGAGTGGTGTTGATGTATCTCCACTGACATGTCTGAGAGTGATCCAGGATTGATGAAACCCTGTTAGCAATGAACGTCTTGAATCTGGTGCTCTTACTGTTCAAGTATTATAGCACAGCCGTGCTCTCAGTCCAAAAGATGGATTCGTGAAGCTCTTTCCTTTCCTCAGAAGCTTGTCCATTTGCGACTGTTGCTGCCGTCAGTTCCATTCTGGGAATAGTTGGTGACTTTAAGAGAGCTTTGCCAGAATCAAGGTGGACTGAACTTCACCTGTTGAAAAGTGCAGCAGTAAGTAGCTTGTGGTACCATAGGCTTGAAGCTGCGCAAAGACTGGTGCACCAAACTGCTATACTTCTGCCGACATAAATCCTGCAGGATTCTTTTGGCGGGCAATATTACTGGAGCGAGAAAGCCCAGCGGATCAAAAATTGAGCTGACCAAGTAAAGCAGGCCTCTCCTAGTGTGTGGCCTATTTTTGAGGTTAATCTTGAACCTGAAGTGATCTGATTCGGCATACCATAGGATACCCGATGCTCTCTCCATGGCTAAGTTGTCCTCATCCTAAGTCCAGATCTTGAAACCCTCAAGCTTTTTCCTCTTTTGGGATTGAGTTAAGCAACTTCCTGCTGCTGTTTGATCACTTTGTCAGCCGAAATCCTCATTTTGCCAACATGCTTCTCAACTCAGCACACAGTGTGATAGCTGTATCTTCATTAGAAGCCGACTTAAAACAGTCGTCCACGTAAAAATTTGTTTAAAACTGTTTTAGCCGTTTCTTGTCCACACTCCTCTGCGAAATCTGTTGCGCATTTGTGGAGCGCAAAAGAGGCGACCCTTGGCAATGATGTTGCGCCGAAGATATGCACCAGCAACTTATGTTCGACGAGATCCTGCTCATAGTTGTCGCCAGGCCACCATAGAAATCTCAGGAGATCCTTGTCTTCATTACTCCCTTTGACTTGGTGGAACATGGCCTCTACATCTGCCATGACTGCTACAGCCTCCTGGTGGAAGAACCCTCCACCAGTGAGCTTGTAAGGTCCGGCCCCTGTAGGAGCTGCTAGTTCAATGACATTCCTTGGAAGCTTGCACCTCAGTCGAACACGACGCGCAACTTCTGCTTGGTTGGATGTCTGACTCTGTGATGAGGCAAATACCACGTTCGCCCCTCAGTAGGTTCACACTCATCACCTTCAATCTTCCCTGCTTGAATTGTAGCTGCCAAAGTTCTTCAAGCTTGGCTACTGAGATTCTGTTTGCAGTAATTCCTGTCAGTGTGTTTGCCTCCACTGTGTCACTTCCACATCTGAGTGATCCTTTCACTGTCCAGCCTAATATTGTCCTCACAGCATATGCTCGATTGTCCATGCTGTTGACAACCTGTAGTGGTTCCATTGCCTTGGGAACATTTGCTCCAATGAGCAATCCACCTTCTGCTTGAATAATGGGCATTTTCACCTCTTTTAGGTGGGGCCAACTGTCAATATCCTCTTGGCGGGGAATATTGTCCTTAGCTACAGGTATGTCCTTCTGTGAATACACCTCAGAAAGTTCAACTGGTTGCTGTCCAAACTGCTGATCTCCAGACCAGCCACAATGCATGTATTCATGACTGATTCATGTCCCATAGTTCGCATTGAGATGCTTACATTGGTTCAGTTGGTTTATCAATGACCATGTAGCGAAAGTAGCTGAGCTACCGGGATCCAAAAACGCGTCGGTTGTCACTGTCTTGCAGAGGTGGGACCAAGTCATTGCTTTGCAAGTCACAAGCAAGTCTCAAGTCTTTGCACTCAAGTCCGAATCAAGTCTCAAGTCAAAATAGGCAAAGTCCGAGTTGAATCCAAGTCAAGACTGAAAAGTGTCAAGTTAAGTCCCAAGTCCTGCCGTTTCTGTTTCGAGTCCTTTCGAGTCCTTCCACTCACTGCCACTTGTTTTTTGTTGATCATCTCGTAGTTTTTAAATCCGAACAACACGATCTTTGGTATCATTTTCTCTAATCCGCGCACTGTTCGACAGCTCTTTCTCATTGGTTGTCCCGCAATTTGATTGGCTCAATATTATCTCGTCAAAACAACGTGGGTCTAATTTGATTGGATGTTGTGCCGACAGCACATACACACACAGACGCACACATGTACACAATGAGAGATACAGAGCGCTCCTTAATAACTTACATTATAATCTTTGGGTTTCAGAGAAAGTCTCAAGTCTTGTTGAGTCAAAGGGCTCGAGTCCAAGTGAAGTCACGAGTCATTGATGTTAAAGTCCAAGTCGAGTTGCAAGTCTCTTTACATTTTGTCAAGTCGAGTCTAAAGTCATCAAATTGATGACTCGAGTCTGACTCGAGTCCAAGTCATGAGACTCGAGTCCACACCTCTGCTGTCTTGGTTCTTTTTTGTGTCTTGACATTAGTGATTCGTTTAAAATGAAGATTCATATGACTCATAACTCCCAAGTCATATGAAAGATTTGTTCATATTGAACTCACGAATCACTCACAAATCACTCACTGCGAACTAATCTATGGCTTTGAACTAATGTTTCACTATGAACTAATCTTTCACTATGAACGAATCACTCTCTGTGAACTGATGTTTTTTTCTTGCTTAGGTTTTCACATGCTTTTAATTGCTTTTGGCATTTTTTGTACTTTGTAGACTTTGTCAGCGGAAGCAAACCATGTTGCCTTCAGTATTTAGTGTCGGAGAACCGCAGCCTTCTTTACAACGCCCACAATAGGGATAAGGCGCCACTTGCTGTAAAACGAATGAAATTATTCGTTCAAGATTCGTTCACGACTCGTCCATTTTACTGTTCGAGAATCAAAGATCCGAATCAGTAAAAAGAGTCGGTCTTCCCATCACTACTTGACATACAC